TGAAGAAGAAAGAAGAAACAGACACACACAGCACTCCTCAACCACAGTGGCACTTGCTCAAACAGAGGATATAGGCCAAGAGAACAACAATAGCCCTCTCAGCTTACAAGACCTTGCTACACCTATACAAACCTCAGAACAGCAGCTGTCCCCAAGTCAAGGAGCATCAAGTGCCTCATTACCTTCAAGTACTGCAAGCAAGAAACGCAAAAGCCCATTTCCTACCCAGAGCAATACACTCTTGAGTTACTTCCAGCCAAGGTCTACAAGCATATCCTCTGCTACTCCAAGGACACCTCAGCAAGCACACCCACACTCTATCAGTAGAACACCTCAGTTGGGCAGTCAGCCTTTTGTTGGTAGTGTAACTCAGCTAGAACATCACTCTTCTGCTGGCAGTGGAACCCAGACAGAGTCAGTTGAGAGCACTGCTTCTAAACTTGCAAGGCAACTTCGCTACTTCCATGGATGTACCCTCCAAGACCATGTAGAGCAAGAGCTGTCACACAACAGACACCACCAAAGAGATGATGTTCACTCTGAGTGTGCCTCATTTGAGTCAATCACTAGGCTGCTATGTGGAGACTACAACAATGGGACTCCTCTTCCAGATGTCCTGAGCAATCCTTGTTTCAAGAGGGCAGAAGGCTTAGCAGATGGCATTGACTGTCAGGGTGCCTTTGAAGGCACAAGTCCTATAGCCTTGCCTAAGGACATTGGGACATGCAATGAGAAGCTGCCATTAAGCCTCTGCATGTCCAAATACTATCAAAGCAGCACCACAGCCTGTGTTCCTAAGACCACATTTGACATTGACAGCCTCTGCTGCTTTCCTAGCAGCCTTGGCTTTGCTTGTCAAGGCATTCACTGGCTACCTAATGCAAGCACTGTGCTCAACCTGAGCCACAACATCCACTTTAGTCTCAAGGTCCTGACATATAATCCAAAGGGAGAGCTATGTCAGACAGATCAGCCACTCCATAAGATTCCACATTACTGTTTTGGAACAGCCATTGGCATGGAGTCAGTTCTGATCTACATCTTCTTTCCAGAGCTACATCTTGGAAGTGGTAATGAGCACAGTACTTTCCTTAGCAATGAGGACTTCAAGCTTTGGTATGACTCTGTGCTTATGCCAGCTATCCAGAAAAGTGTAGCAGATTCCAATGTTCTGCAGCACTACCCTGTGTCTGCTGAGGTTGCACGTCTAGATGCTACTGTGCTGTCAGCTGAGACTTTTGCAAAGAAGAGCTCCTCAAGAGAACAGCTTCTCAAGTATGCTCTACAGCCACAACATCTGCACCAAATCTGGACTTGTATTCAAGACAGCGTTGCTTGCAATCCCTTGTTTAGTCGCTTTAGAGGTGCTGCACTCTTTGCACACTCTAAAAACACTAAGCTAGAGTACATGACTGAAGACCTGAGTACTACATTCTGCAAGTGGCAGAACTCTTGGTCTAGAGTCACTGATCCACAGTTCTGCAGTAAGGACTCTACCTTTGTTGATCTTGGGAAGCAAGTCACTTCAGAGGATAGCAATCTTTTACACAACACTGTACCAAGCATGCACAAAGCAGAAGTGTTTCTTTGGAAAAAGTGCTGCTTGGATGCCTATCACAGGTCACGGGTTGTTCTGCTTGCAGACAATAAGCCAGCCAGAGGCAATCCTCATTGTACTGTGTATCCCTTTGCTACAACAAGAGACAGCACAAATCAGACCCTCTTTGCTTCACCAAGTGGAAAGGAACGTGCAGATGGCTTAGTCTACTCTCAGTTCTATGGATTGATTAAGACCCCATTTGATACCTCAAAGGCCTACATCTTCCAACAAGATGCTGTAGAAAACCTTGCACTAGATCCTGGGTATATCCGCTCTCTCCAACAAGAAGGTGGAGGGATCACATTCTCTCAGGCTGTCTGTGAGAAGGCCTATCTCCACATGAAGCAGCGAGCACATGTCAATCTCAGAGACAATTTACAGAGGTCATATGGGATCAGAGAAGAGCATCGGATATCTCTAACCATGATGGAAGAGATTGAGAGCCAGTGGACCCAACAGGACGTCTACAGTGTTTCTGAGGATAGCCCTAGTGTTCCACTCCCATACTACATTGTCCCAACACAAGAGCTGCTTGGATTCCTCCGTGCCCAGATCAACAAATACTGTTTCTTGTTTGAGCATACCCGAGCCAACACCTTTGGAGTAGTTCCACTAGCTGCACAAGCAGTCATGATAGTAGCTCTAAGAGCACTTTGATTCTGCTATGGAAGCAACATACTAGCAGCAGAGTCACTGCTCTACAAAGATTGCTGGGAGAAGAATCAACAGCAGATTGTAGTAGTGGAAGGCTTTGGCATGCAACAGACAATTGAGCAGTGTGGACTAGGCTGGTTCCTGCCCAAGTTCAACTGGACTACACTGAGGATCAAACAACCCCATGAAGAGAACATGCTGAATGGCTGCCTGCTTATGCATACTGAGTACAAGAAGAGATGGCAAGCAGTAAAGGATCTTCAGAATGTCTATGTCTGTTTCAATCAAGCAGAGAGGTGGTTCCATCAGCACAACATTGGCAAAAACCCAGCACTACTTCGAAAGTGGCTAGAGTATCTATATGCTCTGAACCTACAGCAGTTTGATGCTGATGTGTGGAAGGCTATGCTAAAAGCCCATAAGAAAACACAGCAACTTTCTCCTCAGGCGCTTGAACAAGATGGAAAGATGGCATATTGCTTTGATGGAATGAAGACTTTGTTCCTTAACAGTGGTGTGGTTAGTCCACCTCACATTGTTACAGGGAACAAGGGAGCTTTTAAAGGAGTAGAAGATCTACTCAACTTTCTTTTCCTAGTGGACGAAAGGAAAAGATCAGGCTGGGCTTGGAAACCATATCGCCAGATCCTGCAGAGAACCCTGGATGTTCTAGAAAGAGAGCTGGGTTATCGAAGATCTCAGCTATGGCTAGATCAGTTTCTACACCTGGTTCGCCTAACCCACTGGATCTTACCTTATCCATCAGACCGTGCGCTCATTGAATCAACAAAGACTAGCCAGGAAAAGGGGCTATCTCGAAAGCTTATGTGGTTTTCAGCAGTCTTCAACCATCCTACACTGGCTGTACAGCAGCCTGAAGAGGACAACCCTAGGACACTTCATGTCTTGTTGTACAAAGCACACCGCAGCACTAGCAGAGATGGTAGCATGAACACATCCTGGGATGCTTTTCAACTTATCAAAGCTTGTAGTAAACAAGGGATCATGATACTTGGCATAGATGAGTCCAAGGAGTATTGGAGCAGTGGCAGGAGGAGTGCTGGCTTACAAGGATGGCTGCCAGTCTGGGAGCAAGGGAAGACTCCTCTACTAGAGATGCAGGAGAGAGTTAGAGGGTTAAGCCTTGATGAGCTAGAAGGACTAATGGTTGGATGGCTTGAGGAACACAGTGAGCAGATACATAGTGCCATTCATGAAGGAGAGGTTCCCTCTTTTGCTACTAACAGACCTAGAGAAAATACTTCTCAGGGCCA